GCCCTGTGCCACCAGCTGCCCACACATGGCCATGGTGCAGAGGCCGAGGTTTCCGTCCCTCTCCTGGGTTGGGACCAAGTGGAGCTGCAGTAGCTCCAGTGCGGCCTGCCCAGCCTGCTGTGGATTCAGGTTCCACTCCCAGTTCCCTGTTTTGCTGATAACCTGTGAAAGCAATAACTAAAGACTAGCAATACCCAAAGGTGCCACTGATGTGCTTTCAATAAATATCAGTACATATACCAGTAGAGCCAGGAGTTTCTGATAATGACAGCTAAGTTAACATCTCAAATGACCGTAAAAGCGAAAGGCAGCAAGACACTTGTGAAAACCATGCTGAGTTAAACATGAGAAGCCCAGGCCACTACAGAGAAGCAGCTCTGAAGTTCTCTTCAAATGGAAATACCAACCAGAGACCCATGCTGTGTTCTGTAAACCATGAACACTTGACTATCTTTAAAGGAGAACAAGGCTTTGTAAGTAAACTAAGTAGGAGATGAGGAAATGACTCAGAACTGGATTCCACCAAACTTAGCTTACAACATGAGCCCACCTGCATCCCTTTGGCTTAAATGGCATGTCAATCCCTTCTCCTCCATGGACTTTGGCAGTGTCAGCGATTCACATCCCTGTGCAGTCTTCTGATTAGCAAGAAAACCCATCCTGACAAAGGGATGTCTAAGGGGCACCAAGCCAGGAGATGTTCAGAGCCCTTGAATCTTAACTGGAGAGACAGGCAGCAAGGGAACAGAACAAAATGAAAGGCTGAAAGAGAGCCTGTTCCTTGATGCTGTCCTTGGTGCTGAATGCTCCCTGGCCAAGTACTACACACTTAGACTAAGAACACACTGAGCACTAATTACCATGAGACAATAAGTGCTGCAAAACCCCTTTTTTTTTTTTATTTTTTGCAGAGGACATGACTATCATTAGTATCCTCAGTTGTCCCAGGGAGGAGAAAAGTAAGAAAGAAAACTTCTCACAGATTTAATTTTCCCTTTCCTGTCTGTTCTCCAATGGGATTCTTCTGTAGCGTTTGTGTGTGATTCTGGAGTTCAGTGTGAGAACACGAGGAGTACCTACGGATTGCCACATTGACCAGACACAATGAGGGTGCCAGGACCTGCATCAGGCTCAGGTCTGCAAAACTAACAAAGGGAAGGAGGATTTATATTTACTTACAGATTAATTTTTATTTGAAAGGCAGAGGAGAGTGAAAGAGATCTTCCATCTGCTGGTTCACTCCCCCCAATGGGGACGGCAGCTGGAACTGGGCCTTCTTAAAGCCAGGGACCTGGGACTCAAACTGGAACCCATGTGGGATGCTGGCACCTCAGCCAGAGCTTATACCACTATGCCACACAGCCAAACGGGGATTTATAGAGGGAGCAATTAACTTACAAGACACAAAAGTCATCTTTTTTTTAATCAAAATGTTCTTTCTGTGTAGTTTTTAGATCAATAGCCTAAGCTCTCACTTCTCCAAATTTGCAATTCACAAAAGATTTCTAGCTCTGTTCTCATTAGAAATCTATCTCCAGGAATAGTTTAAGTTTTTAGATTGTTCCTATTTGTGGCAATGGCAATATAAAAATATAATCATTCTACATGTTGGTTTTATGACATGTTTCCAAGTGGAGAAGGAAAATAAATAGGGACATTTCAGAAGAGTATGGTGTGTCCCTCCCCTTGTAGAAAAAAACTCATCTGTTTGTCTGTATTTGGAGTATATTCACTCTGATGCTGCAACCCAGTTATTAATGTGACCAGAAAATGGTCTGTGAAGCCAAACCCAACAGCTTGGAAACCCCAAAGACAATTAGATAGATCATGATAGCAATAGGCACAGCACATTGCAGTTTTACAGCCACTACTGAGAAAAACCTCAGGCTTCCTGACAATTTAAGATGCATTCCATGATTGACATCAGCTGTATGTAGCACAGATAAACACTTGAAATGTTTCCCACTGTCTTACGGGTTTCACAAATGTAATTCACTTAAATAAAAGAAAAATTCAAAACCAGTCCTTACGAAGGGTCTGAAAGGTTCTCTCCTAGAGAGAATCAGGTCAATCTCAGACAAGGTGGAAGTGGAACTGCCCGTGAGGTTTTCAGTTAGATGCAGAATGACCACAGGTTTGTTGACGGGATGACTCAAAATTGTGGAATGGCTGGCTTCCCATCAAATTCGAAATGATGCCCAAAGAGCTTCCCATTGGACACAGTCTCCCTCCTTTCCCTGCATTCCTGCCATCTCCACAGGCCCTAGCTACCTTGAATTTTTTTTTTTTTTACTTCCCAGTCCTGCAGACTTGCCAACAACGGTCCCACTGTGAGAGGTTAACAAAGGGTGGTCCCTCTGCTTGGAATCCTCAGATGAATGCTTCTTTGGCCCCACACCATTAGGGTTCAAGCCCAAAGCACTCTATCCCAGCACATCCTTAACACCAGGCAACATCAAAATTAGTCTGAATATTCATTCATTCATTCCATGAACTTGGAGGCTGCCCACCCGCCTTTCTCCTTGTACTTGGAGATGCCTCCTCCATAGCAAGAAAAACACCGAGCACTTAGGAGCCACTTACTAACCATTTGCGTACTGACATAATGGGAGAAATGTGTGCTTCTTACAAGGTGATTAGAACAGTCTTTTCAGCAAGGGTGTTAGAAAGGCAATTTCTGGCTGAAGAACTCCAAGGTCCTGGAAGAGAGTCCTCTTGTGAATTTCATGTGCCCGAAGCCTTTGTGCTGTCATAGCTAGATCTGCTCACACTCCAAAGCTGCCAGTTAAACACAATGTGGAGCCCAAAGCAGCAGCACAGTGACACAGAGCACTGAAGCCTGGGGTCTAAGAATAATGAGATCCTGGCCTGACGTGGGACTGTCTCCTCTGTGAAATGAGCACCGCATAATTAATTGGAAGGCTCAAGGCTCTGAAGCAAGTGAGGCCCTTGAAAACTCTGGGTGGGTGGGTGGGGGCCTTGATGAAGCGTGACAGAGATTTGTCCTGCAGTCTATGAGCTTTCAGAATGTGAACACTGATCCAGACAGTGGATCAGCATTACCCCTGAGTATGACTGCTTTGAGAAGCCTATGGTTTGACCAGCTGAGCCAAGTGCGCACAGGTGATCAGTCTCTCCTAACCGTGGTTGGGGCCTCCCAGCACAATACGGTAACAGAGGGCAGTTAATCCACATCATACCCCAACACCTTACGAACAGTCAGTGTGGAATACGCCGCGGCTGGGAGTCAGCCTCAAAGAGCACACCAATTTCCTTGTACAAAATGGCATGCTCCAAATGAGCCTGGGGCCCAGCTTAAGTAGAATGGGGCCAGATGGAGCAGGCACTGTGACTATATAAGGCCTAGAAGAACAGTGCAGGTTCATGTCAGGATACACAAGAAGCCTGCACTGGAAAACCTTGCAACCAGGTGGCAGAGTCCCAGGGAACAGCATGGGAGAGGTACACATTAAAGGGTGAGGGAACAAACCAGCATGTCTGAGGAGAAACAAGCAAAGGTACAAGGCACACACAAGCTACTCATGCCCCAATTGCTCGCGCCCACACACACAAAGCCAAGGGAGAAGCAAAAGAGGAAATCCAGACAACCCAAGGTGCCCAATGGAGAATGTGACAACAGAAAATGGCAACACAAATGCAGACTATATTAGGACTATAACGCTGGTTTAAATGCAATGAATCGGAGGAACCCGGGGCACAACACGGTCATGAGCTTAACACAAGGACCACACAGAACTTGAAGATCTTATGGAAGTTCCCCAAAGCACAATGAGAGGACCTTAGCATTGAGTAGACAGTCCCATGTTTATGCAATAAAATAAATAAATAAATAAAGCAAACAACAACAACAACAAAAAGCCATTTTCAATTTGAAATCCATGATGCAAAACAACAGAAGTTTACACAGTGAAGGTGATAAAAATATTGACTGGTAATGTTGACAGAAGACTTTCTGTGCAAGCTATTACTCCAGGGCCTGTCTCCAGATACGCACCGTGTCTAAAGCTTTCCTCCTACTGCAAATTCAACAGATTGTGATGGTTTCATTTGTCCCTGGATGCAAAAGGGTTTTCAAGAAAAACTAGGCCTTCAAAATCTCTGAGGCAAAGGCCGCCCACACCTGCTGTGACTGAAGGCAGAGCTACTCAGGGCAAGTCAAGCCCAGTCACCCCTCCCCACCCCCCCACATCAACAACACGCCCAAAGTGCTCCAAGGTAAAGTTTACAGGCAGAGTTAGCAAGCCACAAGCACACACACAGAAGCCAGACTCTGAGATGATAGCAGGGCAAGCACAGCACAGGCCACAGCAATAGCAGGGAGAGGCTCAACGTGGGGTTCTCGGGCTTTGGTCTGAACAGCTTGGAAAGTGAATCTTGGGATTTGCAGAGCCAGAGGACAAGTCATTTCCTGTATGTGTCAGTTTTTGTTGTCTGAAGAAAGAACATTTATTCTGAGACAGACTTTGAATTTCACACACATTCCATGTGTCAAAAATGTTAGTATTATCGCTGTGACTGCTTTTCAAAGCATTTAAAAATGTAAAACCCATTCTTGGCTTGCTAGACAAAGCCAGGCAGGCATCAGACTCAACTGCAGAAACGGGCAGCAGCAGGACAAAAGCAAGTCATCAAGTCAACTTCTACAGCTGCTTCTCCCTCAAAATTCCTTTACAACACCATCAATATGAAGCTGCACCAAAACATCCCCAACTCCCCATGCTTCTAACAAAATCAGATTATGTACTTGATCTGCTAGCTTATGTTCACACTCTAAATTTCATTTAAACATCATCTCAGCTGCAGACACTGCGACCCTGTGTCCAACAGAGGCAGACATGGGAGCCAGTGGGGAAACACACATGCATCACTTTCCATGACCATCACAAGCTTGGCCTGGGAAAGCTGTCTGATGTCGAGGCGGCTGCTCTGCCAGCGACCCCAGCCACGGCTTGTAATGCTGCACTCTTCTTATCTTGTAGGCTCTCCTATCGGACGGGGCAAGACACAGCCAACTGTGACACGTGCAGGAACAGTGCCTGCATTATCTACAGGTACGACCACGTTCTCTCTTCCCACGTCTTTATTTCGAGTGACAAATGACGTTTATACACAAATGCCAGAGCCACGGGGGCCATGCTGGGATGACTCCATCCGATCATAATGCTAAGTCACCTCCAGGTCGGCCACACCCTAGGTCTCCCAGAGCGGGATGAGGGTGGGCGCATCTCAGTGGCTTCAGGAACTGCTCTCAGCTTGATGGCTTGCTCCCTTGGACACGACAGCCGTGAGCACAGTACAGCATATTTCAGATACTATAGATCAGAACCTGAGGCCTCCCCAGGAGTGCAGGAATGCAGCCCGGCCCCTGGAAAGAGCCGCCGGTGCACTCCCAATGTCCCACTTCCTGCCCTGGACGGAGGGCTGGATGTGGCACTCACCTCCGGTGGGGCAGGACCCCTCATACCACCCTCACACTGAACTTCCTGTGCCTCCATCAGAGACATCAACAAGGCTAGGGCAGACACAGAGGCTGTCGGCAGGTAGCAGAGAGCAAGGGTTTACAGAAGTGTTCAGAGGGGTTGCCCCCCATTTTTTTGGCTTTTGAAAATGCTATGTTTACAAACTGGGTTTGTGAGCAAAGACAGATGACCAAATTTCCGTTGCTCTAAAAAATACAACTGAAAAATAATTTTAGTGGTCCACCAATTTAGAAGGAAACTCATAACTGAATTGTTATGTAATCTAAAAATGAATTTCACCTATCTGCAAAGCCCCTTTGGATGACCTCTGCAATAGACAGACATAGTGTGGGAAGGACAGCTCATGGCTACACGACCTTTGCCCACTCAGGTTTGTCTGCCTAGAGAGGCCCAGGTCTGTCCATGCATGTCTCCGAGACACACAGACACTCCCTGAGAGCACCAGGTGGGTCACCTGGGGACCTTGTCTGAGAGCAGCAGAACAAACAGGCCACAACGCACATGAGCCCTCAGCCAGTGGTCATTTTGCCTCCCACGGGACATTTGGCCAAGTCTGGAGGGAGATACTTGCTCCGGCACAGTGGGGAGTCATGGTGGTTTCTGGTAGAAAAAAGCTGGCTGTGCTGGTGGCATCTTGTGCTGCACAGGCCAGGCCTCGCCCGCAGTCCAGAAAACCCAAACGTCGAGGGGGCTGCAGAGGAGCGGGCTGCCTGCCTGGAGCCAGCAACACAGCACAGTCCTGGGAAAGGCCTACAGATGCTGCAAAGGGGCAGGTCAGGAGACGGGACTAGCATGGGGACCACTCACTGTCCTTGGCTGCTCCTATGAGGAGGTAAGAAGCCAGCTCCAGGTGAGCTGTTTAAGAATTCCTCCAAGCTGGCTTAGAGCAATCTCCATATGACATTTCTATTGTGAAAGACAATTTTGAAACCCCAGTGAAGAGATATAACCCTGACTTCGAAGAAGCCTTCGGCAGCATCCGATAATTACAAAAAGACAGAATGATTGCATATTCCCGGACACATCAGCAGCTCTGTGACTCTGGGAGCCAAAGCTCACCCGGTGCTTTAATGCAACAAGACAGAAGTGAGCAAAGATTTCTAGAGAAGGTTCAGAGAATGAGCTTGTTCCGCCTAAACCTATTTAACATTTTGTGGGTGATTGAAAAAAGAATTTATTAGGACACTGTCCAACGTAACTGAAATAATTTAAATAAATTTGGCTCTAAATCCAGAAGCGACTTACATAAAAAGTAATGTTAAAAGTGATTTAACAAGTCTAGGAAGGACAGGGATTTGTCTTCTCGTGAATTAGCCTGGAGTGGTTACTTTATTGAATTGGCTCAACTCACACTGCTTGAATGCCAATATGTCAACGACTGGCAGGCTATTCAAGAGAACCGAGAATGCCCCAGCACCCTAGCAAGCTGTCCATGGTTAGGAACACTCAGTCATGGAACTGTGGGACTAGGGTCTTTTTTGGCTGTCCCACTTGCAGGGTCCTGCCCACTGCAGGCATAATCAAGGGTGGGCTGCCCTGGGGTTTTGCATACTGACCCTCTGCTAGCACATCCACCAGCCCTAGCTAAGGCGGGAAGCCTGCAGAGTAGGGGTGCGAGAGATGAAGTTCCTGGGATCTGCCCATGGGGAAGTACTGTCAACCCACTCCTTTCAGAATGGAAGCCCATATCTCTCAGAGGTGTGCTGCTAACAGAAGTGACTCTGGCTCAGCAGGCAAGTGGCAGAACATCCTACAAAGTAACATTAGAGTTGGGCTCGGCTGACCCACGAAATCACCCCACTCTGCTACCAAGACAGCATACACAGGGCAGAGGGAGTTGACTCATCTCCTAATTCAGCTTATTAGAGAAGTAGCAGTCACTACCGGGCAGGAGTTGCTTGAAGTCATTTAGGAGGCTAGAAGAGTGAAAGTTCACTTAGCATCAATTAACTGAGAACTCAGTCCCTGTGGAAAACATAAAAAATATGATTTGAATGTAAACATTTTAATTGGAATCATATACATCCAAATCTAGCATTAATGTGACTTAGAGTCAGACCAATCCACTGAGATGAGGCCTAGATATTTTCTGAGAATGTGGGCTAGAATTCCCATTAGAATTCCAAATTATCCACCATGAACTTCAAAACCTTCAAAGTAGAGCAAGGTCTTGTGATGGAATCTCACTTCAGTGTTGCCCTGGTCTGACCTACCTTTTCCATGCTCAGCATTTGGTAGCAGCTTACCAAAGCCTTCAGTGTAATCCAGTAACAATTCTGTTGCCTGGCTGCTTTGCTCCACATTCAGATCATTCAACCATCAAGAATGAGTGCAGGTGGCATAAACAAAACCAGAAACCAGGCCAATGTCTGACTTGCATGCAGCTCCAGAAGTAAGGGTAGACTCCCAGCCCTTGTGTCCATGTGGACACCACGTGTATGTCATGCAGGGGGAGGGCGTATCAAAGTCATCAGTTTAGGGATCTTCTGGAATCTGATCCAAGAAACAAACACCATGACACAGGAATGGCTCTCAGGAGACTTGGCTCTGACCACCCGAGGACTGAGATGCTGAAACAACCAGTGTGGGAAAGGCTCCCTGATTCCAAAAGTAAAAACAAGAGGACCAGATAGGGATGGGAGGAGCTGTCAACTTCCCAGCTTCTGCCCAGTCCCATGATTCAAACCTCAAAAGTCAAAAGCCTTTTGAGAACAGAGGTCTCTTTGATAGGAACCCATGAGTCCCAGGTCAGGAGGAGTCACCCGTCTGTGTTAGCCAAGAGCAGCGCGCAGGGCACCGCACAGCACCTCAGAAGTGTGGACTCCAAGGACGCTGCCGGGCACTTCCAAATGTCAAAGGCTTTGTTGATTCAAGTCCACTTCTCATCGTCCCCAAGGACACTTGCCAACAAGCCCGCATTCTTCAACCCTGCATGTGACTCTGTTGGCTGAAGGGTATGGCTATGTTGAAGGTTACAGTCCTGTGGCCAGTGCAAAGCCTGTCGCTGGCACCGGGGTCCCTGGCTACAAGGACCTGCGGTCTAGAAATGAGGAATTCTGCTTTGAGTAAAACCATCCACACCACACTTCCCCATGCTCCCTGTGGGATGCCTGAAGTACACTGAGATTTAGTTAATATTGTTTGAAAATAGGGAATCTTAGCACGCACATGGCTGTCACTGTCCCAGGAGCTGCAGAATAGGAAAGGTTATGACAGCTGCCAGGGTCCAGTGTTGCAATTTGTTACGCACGCTCTCTGGCAGACACAGAGCTCTGAAGGCCAATGAATTTGACCCTGCCTGTCTTGCATTTAAACATCACTCTTCACACACAAGCCAATTACCTCTGGGAACAGGCTAAGAGTTCCCATGTTTTCTACAACACTTGGGCCAGGGAGATGAAAAGGTGGCCATGTTCAAGACCAGGCTGGCTGCAGTTCCATCAGCAAGGCCCGGTAAAAAAATGCGTACCTTTGCCATGAGTGGCAACACATATTTCTTGATAAAAAATAATTCTGTCATGGAAATATACAGGACTTGGAAAAAAACATCAAAAGGACAAAAGGTCTTGATGCAATTTTGGGAACAAGGCTGCCTGTATCAGAAGCGAGAGGCTGCAGGCACCAGGAGTCGGGGCCCATGCTGTCTCCAGGCAGGGTGGCTATAAGGGATTGCAAGGTCTCCCCAACTCTGAAATCTCACAAGCATGATGGTTACATGAAGAGGGGAGTGGATGCAAACGTGCGGAGGACGTAGGGCAGTCTTCCACTCAGCAGAGCTGAATTAAGACCTCTTTGGCAGACAAACAGATGCCCTGCTCACTAATCCACTGACAAACAGGTAGTAAAGGTGCTACTTTCATTTATTTATTTTTTGACAACTGGCCATTTTGATCTGGTTGATAGAATCCCATTTTTTCCACCAAGATGGCATCCCCACGATCGTGATCTGGGCCAATGTGATCGTCTGATTAAAAGACTATCTCTGCAGGAGAAAGATTGAGAGAGAATCAAGTTTCAAGTTTTCTTTAATAATGCTCTTCTGGCTTTCCGTCCATATTCCTGTAAAAATATGCTGTAATCACTGCAGGGCATGTTTTCAGGATAAATTACTAATGGAAGCTCTGCTCCTAAGCAGGCAAAAGCTTTGTATCAATTCTACCCTAGTGGACCCATTATCAGACTCATCTGATGAGTCACCATTTCATGATTCACCTGGGGCTCAGATCTTATTTGAGAAGCAACAACTGACCTGGTGGGCAAACCCACCATGGTCCTCTCTTCCTGAAATGGTTAAGCAGTGGCGTAAGACGGCCACAGAGGGCCTCAATTCTAATTGGTACAGCTTTACGAAAAGAGCTTGAGCCAACCTCAGCGCACAGGCTTTGGGGGCTGAAGACAAGATACGACAGTTAATGATAACACTGACTCATTAATTATACAGTTTCACTTTCAGAATCTAAAATCTTGTGAACTGCTACAGTTTCCATCATTATTCCCAAGATCAGAATGTTTGCCTCCTCCGGGAGGACACTGTCCCCGCCTTTTGCTTATCTGTGTGCCAAGGCCTCTGC